CTTTCTTTCTTTTTTTTTTTTTCTATTTAGTCAGCTTGCTTGCTGATCTGCTTTCCTGATGATGAATTCTCTGCATGACTATAATGACCCCTCTGTTAGCTGACAAGGTCAAGTTTATTAGCTCCTTGGCTACAGAAAACCAAGAATCTGTTCCCCAAGCCCAGTGATGTCCTCTTTTGGCTGGACTGCCCTCAAACTCACACTAGGTCTGAGCAGCAGGCCTGCCCAAATGGTATGAAATCAGAGGCTTCTGGCAACTCCACACCTGTCCACTCCTTGGACTTGATTTCTCTCATTGCTTTTCCTAGATATTATTCCATTTTTCTCTACCTGGGGCTTCCCTATTCTAAGGACTTGTTAGGATTGAGCTACTTGGGTATCCAGGGTTGAGGGTCAGGGGATGGACATAGAGGAAAAAGAGAGTGATGGGAAGAGAATGGAGAGAATTTGGATAAAAGGTGGGAAAGGAGAGCACTGCTCATTTATCATTTTTCCAGTCCAGCCTGACCGATTGAGAGTTGAGGTGCTATTACTGGTCTTTGGAGATAAGCCTGGGCTCTTGTTGCTGGGTATTTAGGCTTAGAATAATGCTGAACAAGAAGGTACACAAAGTCGTAAAACCCCCCTAAAAAGCTCCTGGTTCCCACTTAGTAGATAGCTCCTCTTTGGCTAAGCAACAGTGTTCTTGGAGTTTTCCTTTTCTTGTCCAGAATTTTGTAAATGAGACTCAGTACTCAAGATGGGCAGCCAAGGAAACACTTCTTAGCTGGCCCCTGGACTATCTGCAAGGCAGGTAGGGCAGTGTTTTAGACCTTGCATCGTGTGTAACAAGAGATGGAAGTTCTTTCTCCTTCAGGATAGAAAGTCATCTCAAACTAGCCAAAATGCAATTTTGGAGACTACGTTGGAGGAAGCTGTTTTTATTTATATTTATTGGGCCTAGGCCAATCCAGGATGGTAGCTGGGATGCCTTCCTTTTTAAAGTCTGATTGTGGCAGGGATATGCAGGGCACTCTTTTCTATTTGGCCTTCTAAGCAGATTGGGGAGAAGGGATGCTCTGGTTTTCTCTTTCCCCCATTTATTAGGACTTGCCTTCTCCCTGAGCAGGGAGAGGCTAGATTGGTGCTCTCCTCTTACTCTACTCCTACTGACTTAGAACCTCTGGCTGCTGTTTGGGAGCCCAAGAAAGGGAGCGGAGGGAATGGCTCAAATCAAACAAACAAAAATCAGAATAAGATGGGAAAGCAGATTTCCTACTTTAAAAAGGAATATAAACTCTCCAAGGATTGTGCAAGTAAAGACAATATATCTAATGCACCATGTCCCCTGGTGTAGTAGCAATAAGGAAAAATGAAATGACTTTCCTTTGAACACAGTCCAACCTGAATGGTGTGTGATGTTGGCACTTAGCAGCCATCTGGTGGGCATGTGTGACTACTCTGGGTTCCACTTTAGTTTCTGAACTTTTATTCTTCTCAAGTCCAGCATGGATAGGGAAATGTCCCTGGAGCCCCACAGCTGTGTACTTGTTTGCATTTGTTTCCCTTTGAGACTTGTGTTTGTGTCCTGCTTTGAGCTGTACCTTGTCCAGTCTATTGTAAAATTATCCCAGCAGCTGTAATGTACAGTTCCTTCTAAACCAAGCAACAGCAGCAGCACAATTCTGTGTTTTATAAAAACAACAGTGGCTTCTGTTTCTAAAGTGCGGTCTCATTCTTTTTTCCTATCAGCAAAGCAAACTGTTGGAATTAATTACATCTCTGATAGATTTTAGGTTAGAAAAATAGATTTTTACAAGAGCAGAACCATTACTTCTAAAGGAGGAAAAGTGGGTAGAACATATTCCAGAATGTTGAAACTGCATATTGTATGTAATCACACTTCACAGGGCCTCCACTTATTCTTCAACAAGTACCGTGACCAGCAGTATTTTTGAGGGAAGGGCAGGCACAATTCAAAAATTAGGAGCTTAAAGTTTGGTTGAGGATATGAGTAGTCAAATGGTCCCCTTGGTACATAAAAGAGATGATGAGGGATTGGAACAAGGCTGTCAGGCTTTAGCCATGAAGATAGGAAAGGGCAGATTTGAGAAACACTCAGGAGATAGAATTAATGGGACTGAATGGATGATGGAAGGGGAAGAGAGCAATAGTTTCCAGTTGAGCAAGTGAGTGTATTGGGGCATTCTTCTAACCGAGATGGGAAGTGCGGAGACTATAGAAGAAAGCTAATGAATTTTGTGAAGAAAGACCATAATCCTTGTATAGACTGAGTTTTGAGGTTCCCATGGGGAAATGAGGTTAAGCTTTCCAGTAAACATTTATGTTTTGTTGCTCAGGGAAAACTACAAAACTGCAATTATAGATATGGGATTCATACTTATATAGTTGATAGTTAAAGCCATAGGAATGAACAAGATGGTTTAGAAAAAGAGTAGAGTGAGAAAAACATTGTATACAACTCTAGGAAATGCCATTTAAACAATGAAGAGAGGAAGCAGAATATAAGATGATTGTCATATCACTAATTTTGTATATTTTGGCTGATTTAATGTGGTGGGAGAAAAATCAAGAGAGTGGAATAGAATCAAATTAACAACATGAACTGCTGCAGTGAGAAGGGTATTTTTTCAACTCAGTTTACCATTCTCTACCCCATCTTCTCTGGGATTTTAGAACTTTATGGTCATTCTCCAGTATTTCTTGAAAATGAGCATTGGAGAAAACTAACTGGAATAAGGCTAAGATTAGGTTTTCCAAGTTGTTCACCAAAACCATCACCACCACTTCCAGCTTCCTCCTGTTCTCGGGAGATACTTGTAAGAGAATAAAATAAACAAATTTAAATTTGTTCTTAACTAGTATCATAGATGATGTTCCAGTGCACTCTATAGCACTTAGCATTTTCCTGTAGTTATTTTCATGACTTGTTTCCCCCAGCACCTGTGAACTAGGAGCAGAAATTACATTCTATTCACTTTTGTCATCTTAGGGCTATAACATATATAAATAGAATTAAAATGAGCTAGAAATTTGTGGTTTATGAATACAGGGGGGTGTGGGCAGTGGGGAATCAAGATGATACTGAGTTGAGTGTACAGGATGGAGTCAGCATTTCTGAATCTTCAGGTAAGCAGAAACTTAGCCAGATTATCATAATCTTTTCTCACTCTCACTCAACATGGAGATTCTGTGGTTTTGGTACCTTCAGCTAATGGCACGATTGTCAAGCATGTAAGCTCCTTGGTACTGCTAAAACATTGTTACTCTGAGGGAAGATTACTCACAGAAGAGTCTGGCACAGAGCCCATTGAGAAATGTTCAGTGGCATCTAGTGTGTGTAAGTGGGCCTAGCATTCCTCTGGAGGCCAAGTGTTGTGACTTTTCAAATTGCAGAACTAACCTGTGCTACCACCTGCCAGAGTCCCTTGAGTGCAAGACAGCCCAATCCATGGTCTTTTTCAGCAGCAAGGGTTAGTAAGATTGGTTGAACTTAAAGAGCAGATTGGAAGATGGAAGAGATATTTCCCAGTTGAAATAAGGCTTAAATTTATGACCCTTCATAAAACAGAAGTGAAGTATTTAGTAGAGCAAGTGGGAGGATGATCATTATGACACTTTGCCATAAATTTCAGTTTTAAAAATGATTGATGTTAGCCCTGGCCCATGTGACTTAGTTGATTGGAGCATTGTCCCATGCACTGAAAGGTCAAAGTCAATGGTTCAATTTC